GAATAAAATTTTATTCATTTCGAGTTCAATTCGTTCATTCTGATTTTACGTTCCCATTGCTCTTAGTTTCACTACCGCTGGCATCGCATTGCTTTTCTTTATTGATCGCTTTTCGATTCAATCCGAACGTACGTCTCTCGATTATTGCACGTGTTATGAAATTCGGTATAAGACGCATCCCCTCAACCTGTAATTAATTAAGTATAAGTTGTTTCTCACAAGCATCAGACGAACATCCAACAAGTGAACAAGTTTCGATCAACTGACTGCAACTGACATTTATGCTACATCGGGCTGGAACACAAGTGCTATCACACCTGACAGTAGTGTATTGCGAGGAACGGAGATGTTCAGGGAACTCGTCCCCAACTCTTTCCAGAGCGACCGCATTCTCGGGGTCCCGATTGCAAATTTCGTCCTCCACCTCCCCCGTCTCCTATTTTTTTCTCTTTCCCCGCGACACATAACCCCAGTATTTATGTATGCGCAGCAATGTAAGCTGACATGATGCACCGTATTCTGCTATGCGTACACACACCCAGATACTACAATAGTTACGCAACAATGTAACTATATGTAGGACAGCGATGCAGTTTCCACGATGTCGGAATGAATTCATTCGAATAATACTGGTCTGAGACTATTCTTTATGGTCAATTGCGATAATGTTTCCCGAAGAGATGAAAAACTTCATCCAATTCCAATGAACTGAAAGAAAAAGCAAACCTGAATTTGATGTGAATAGTAACCAGACGTTTCTCGCGCATTTCCAACAGTTCGCACGGCACTTTTTGCGAACTCCTCCGCAGACGGGATAAAGAATGACGGATTTCGAACCTTAAATTCGACTGTTTATTCATTCACTCATTCAAATATGCTACATCTCTACGAGTTTCAATCACACGCTTTAGGCGGCTGAAATTAGTTCCTTGACAGCATAATCAATTTGTATTCGATCAATCAAACGACTGATTAACAGATCAATTAATAATTTGCCACCAGTCAAAATTGTAAATCGATTACCTTCGACATTTTCGTGCTAACAACCATTGGACAAAGGCACTGAATGATCAAATTCGTTTTCGAATATTCACGTCTTAAAATATTCGTTAGTCGAATCACATACTTCTGAAATTATAACAAGGATACCATCGCAACAGGTCAATCACTTCATTTGGAAGTGGTTTTTTTTTTT